CTTTCCGCCGCCGCGCCGCCTCTCCGCCGCCGCGCCGCCGCGACAGGCGCCTGTTCCGCTGCTCCACACCGACTCGGTGTGGGGTAATAACAACACGGTGACCGATGATGCAACTCGGAGTTTTTAACTCTGCCGTAGTATCGTGTCGAGCCGTGCTGGTGGTGTCTCGTTTGCCCTGCCTGCGGTGAGTCGTGACTCTGAGGCCTGATCACCAGCCGCTCGCCACAATGGAAGAGAACACATGTCACAAGGAGCTCAGGCATGCGAGAGTGTCCCTCGCCAGTTTACAGACCAGTTTTGCACTCCAGTGGTTTGGCTTCGACGACCGAGCCCAATTAGTCCGCGATTAGGTTGTTGTCAATAGTTCTGTAAGTTGCTCTTTTTTGCTCGGCGCCATCCGCGAGGTTCCGACCTAAGCCAATCCGATCGGCAATTTTGGCGTGCTGCCACTCTTGCAGCATCATCTCGGAGTGACCGCCCGGGTTGGCTGTGGTCGATGTATTCGCGGACTCGTGGGACACCCTGCGAAGTCACGTGACCTGCGACGTCGCTCCCGGCTCCGCCGCTGACCAATCACGTCCTCCGCTCGCACATTGCGTCCAATCGGAGGCGACCCGCGCCAGGACTCACGCCGCCGACGTGCTGGCTCGAACAGGACGACGGGCTCCTGAGCGGCCGGCGCGAGACGGCGCCGCGGCCGAGCCGTCTGCCGGTGGCCGCGGGCGGCGGCTCATTTGTCACTGCGCCACTATGGACGAACGTGCGCCGTCCGCCGCTGGTCGGATTAGATCAGCGCCGACTGCCGGCGACAGCTTAGTGAAATAACCGGGCACGGCGCCGCCCGGCGCCGTAAGGGTCACTCTTGCGGCACGACCACGCGGACGTTCAACCATATCGGCCGGAGCCCGATCGAATTTGAGGGCTCTTTCAAAGTTTGACATTCCCAATAAATGCCAACGGGGATCGGCCGGCGCCTAGAAAAATGTCCGCCGCTAATCCGCCGCTCAGGTGGGAAACCACGAAAATATCATCCGGGCGCCAGGTAGACAGCGGGAGGTGCGCCGCCCGCCCATTTTCCACGGTCAGGTCGGGTGTTGTGAGACACGCACTGTTGCGCACGGTCCTCGCTGCGAGCGGTGACGCCGGGCGCCAACGGCGGATCGGTCGGCGCCGCTTGCTGGGCGCCGTCCGTGGCTGGAGCCCGCCTGCGAGGGCTCGGTTCGTCGGCCGTGATGGCGCTTCTCGTCTCGCGCACTTCCGGCCGGCTGCCGGTGGTAGGACATATCTTGAATGTTCGACAGCTGCCTCGCGATGCCCGGCTGTCGCAATGCGAGGAACCCCATTTCAGACATTTTCTGGGGCTTCCTGCTGCTGGACGTGGACCTAGTTATACGCGGTCTTTCGAATTCCAGAAGAAATCCACGATCTTTTGTCTGTTTAGGCCAGTGACTATCGGGAGGAATCGCAATGGATTGAGTTAATAGTTGTTCTGCTTGGATGGAGATCTTACGTGCGTCGACTGGAATGTTTCATTGAGAGGTTCTTTCCAGGCCATAGATGATTGATGTACGTACGGAAACAAAAGCCGATCCTGCTTGTTGGTTGCAAGATATTATTATTTTAATTTTCGCCTGCTTTTTAATGTTCCATTGTCTGTGGCTGATGTGCCTGTCAACATCGTTTCTCATATTCGGGATTAACCTGATTTATCTTTGATTGATTTCATTTGCATATATGGCAGTAGTAATAGCCATGACAGCCGTGCAATAGCGAGGCATTATATGTGTGAACATGGCTCCTCGCTTATGTACTGAACAAATTACGTGATTTAAGTTAACTTTGGTTGATATACCAATTGATATGTGATTTACCTTGGCGTGTCTTGGAAGCAGCTCTGCTTCCTGGGGCACCTGAAAATTGCAATGCTTCGGTGTGACAGTGTGGGTGGTCGCCCTTCTGTTTGCTACCTGTCCTTTAACTTGCCGGTATAGTTTGTGGAATTACTGACGCTCTTGGAATACCGCCGTCTGCCCTTTCGGCAGCTGGTGACACGTGATCTTCAGTCTGCTCACACGGTTTTTGCTGCTGCCGAGCTCTAACGATGCCGCGCTCTCCGCAGCTGGTGGCACCTGATCTTCAACCTGCTCGTGCAGCTGGTGGTGGGCCTGCCGCTGGAGATGGTGCACGGCTCCGCCCGCGTTTTCACCGTCTACATGGCCGGCGTCCTGGCGGGCAGTCTTGGAACTTCAGTCTGCGACACCAGCCGCCAGGTGTACCTGGTGGGAGCCTCCGGCGGCGTGTACGCTCTGCTGGCGGCCCATATCGCGAACGTCCTGCTGGTGAGTTTGGCGTGCTGACATCGAGCCGCTCGATGCTTACACTGGGCGGGCTGCTTCAATGATCACGTGAAGAACAACATTAAAAACTTGATTGAAGCATCAGTCCTGGTCTCAAAATGTTTGGACAATCCTTTGCCTCTGACGTCGAGAATGGAGTGCTTGCTCGTGTGATCTAGTATGTTGTCTCATCATTGCATCTGTTGCCGGTTGCAGACTGCAAAATGGCTGCTCATTGCAACGATATTTGTGAGAGGTTGTTTGGCGAATGAATCCTTTCATTATATCGTGTTTGCTCCTCTTGTTGCGCATGCCGATCACGAGTAGCCAATAAAATCCTCGTTTGCTTTCAGAATTACCACAACATGGAGTTCGGCGTCTTCCGTCTGCTCATAGTGTTTCTCATCGCAAGCTTCGACGTCGGCTTCGCCATCTACCACCGGTACGCGCCAGTGCCATCTGTTGAGCCGGCTGTAAGTTATGTTGCGCACCTGGCCGGTGCAGCGGCGGGCCTGTCGCTGGGGCTCGTGGTGCTCAAGAACTTCCAGCAGAAGCTGCACGAACAGCTGGTGTGGTGGCTGGCGCTGGGCGCGTACATCGCCTGCACGCTCTTCGCCATCATCTTCAACATCCTCCACACGCCGGCGAACGAGAGGTTCGTGTGAGTGATGGCGCCGCCCGAGGCCGCCGCCGGCGTCCGGGGCGTTGGCCCTGAGCGTCGGCCGGCCGGCGTCCGTCCCATGCTGTGATATAGTGCAGACGCACCAGGAGTGAGGCTGCACGGCGTGCGGGGCCAGAAGCCTGTCCAGACTGCGGCCCGGCGGCGATCTGAGCCTGCCGCGCCCGCCGTGCAGCGCGGAAGTGAGCAACGGCAATATCCGAAATGCATCCACGTACCAAAGAAGGTAGCATTTGTGTTCCCTGTGTTTGCCTGGCTGAGTACCGCGTCGTAGTCGTTCTGTTGAGTCATGGTTTGTTGAGAGCCGCCAGAGACGGAAATCGGTGATGTGGGACGATTTGACCGGCATGTGCTTCTCGTGGTGGTGTAGCGTTAGCGCTGTCCTGATGCGTTTCTGGAGAATGCGCCGTCGCAGTCTCCCTACGGCTGTCATTGTCGATATCATTCCGCCCTGGAATCACAGAGCAGTACCCTCGGCCGGCCCGGCGGCGGACCAGCCAGCCGTCGCAGTGGCGGCTCGAGGGATCCGTCTGCTAACATAGATGAGCCTTCTTAGATCCGAGTCAGAAGTCCTTCACCCATCCGTTGCCCAGCTAAACTGTCTTACCTCCCAAAGCGCGAGAGCCGTCCCACTCCCGACCGAGCCATTCCGTGGCCTCGGGCCGCGCCGCCCGGCCCGGCCGCGTCCCGCCGTCCAGTGATGGTCGCGTGCCTCCGCCGAACCCGCGGTCGGCCGTCCGAACGCGCATGCGCGTGTGCGACTCGGAACGTCTGTGTGCTCTGCGCAGCTGTGTGAACGACGCGCTGCGGGCTGCGGGCGCCGCCCGCCGGCCAGGCGGCCTTTCTAGTCATAGCGCGTCGTTGAGCTGGGTGGTATGTGTGCTGTTTGTCCGGTGTCTGTCGACACTAACCATCGTGACTTTATACTCGTGAAGTGTCGGGGCGCGTGCCCCCGCGTTGTCTGTCAGCTCGAACTGCCCGATCAGCTATCACGCGCTGGGATAGCTCGCTCAGTCACGTGCACATAATTTCTCCGGATTAGCCCGTACATATCAGCGCGCCTGGCCGGGCCGGGCTGGTCCCGTGCTCGGACCGACCAACATTCTACAGCTCTATTCCGCCGTTGTCGCCGTGGTGACGTCATTGGGACCGGTGACGTCATCGGGTTGGCCTGTGATGGGACACTGCCGGCGCAAGATGTGTCGCGCCCGGTGGTGGATGTCGCATGCCTGGCTGTCTGGATTAAACGCGCATTTCCTGTGCTGGGATTCTGTTGTTCCATGCGTGTAACTCTGATATTGAAGAATATAGCTGAATGCACGACACCTGGCGTTACATATATGCCCTCGTAGCCCGACCGGTTTACACACGTTAACACAAGCCCGCGGCGTCACGTTCAGTTATGCATCGGGTTTCTTCTTCACCGTTCCTACCTTCGCCGTTTTGTGGAGCGGCCGCGCCATACGAAAACAAGAGCCTCCAGTTGCGCCGCCAAAGGCACCGCAATCACGCCAGGCGCCAGATGGCCGTCGGCAAGTATGAAGAGCTGATGGCTTCATCCCGTCTGCAGATCCGCAGACCGATAGACGAAAACATTGCCTTACACCAGACTTTTCTTAAACTGGTCAACCTCGCTGATCACACTCGACAACGTGTAATCCCGTCTCGCCACGGCACACGGTTTGTGCGGCGTGCGATTCTGTTCCCTTATCAGTCCTCGTCGCGATGTTAGCACGGGTCAAACGTGTCCGAGCCCGGGATTACCTCATGTTCAACCACATGATGCATCAGATCAGCGAGCCCTGCATGATGTTCCGGGAGGATTGTCCCCAGATCGTCGTCATCCATTCAAGTTACGAAGAGCCGCGCTGATACCGCGGGTCCTTAAAGCACAGCGGTGGGACACGCCACACGTGCATCCGAACACCCACGGGGTCGGAACCCCCCCCCCCCCCCCCCCTGGTATTCAGACGGAGCCCGCTGTCACCGCCCCGCCCACGGCCCCGTCCGTAACCCCGATAACACTCTGCTCTGCTCAGACCCATGCAGAGGCACACTTTTTCCCATACCGCGGATGCTGACTCTTAAGGCCTGAACTTCACGACAAACTTCTCCGCGGCCTCGCACTATGGCCTTCATGTGATTAACAGTTGTCAGTGACGTTCCACACAGTGGCGAAAACACGTTCTGGTACATTAATTGGCGCTCAACCACAACCGGCTAAATGAGCCGGCTAAATGTCCTACACAATATCCCCGCATGGCAGCGTGACAGGAACTCCCCTGCTCATCTGTTCAAAGCCAGTTCAGGCGGATCGACGCAATCCGACACGTGACAGCTGGAGAAGCTCAAATGCATTGGTGCCCCCTGCTAGCCGCACGAGAAACACGTCAGAATCACGAATAAATCACATTGCAGGCAGAAATACCCTTCGGTTTAATGTCACCTCCAGTTGTGTACAATACCATCCATGCCGCGCATTCACCCAATTGCTAGCAGCAGCAGCGACAGCATTTTACCTTCACGTCATATGCACCGCCCGTTCGACGAACTTTGAGGACTGGAGGGCCACCGCGGGCACCTGAGACTACGTTCACGACCCGCCGCGGCGGTCATCCCCGCACACGCCTGTCACAGCGATGCGGCAGCACGGTCGTCTGCACTTCGCCAGAGCACCAGCACCGCTCCCCTCCTGTCACACGCAGCACCAGCCGCGCCCCAGCCGCAGCCAGCGTTCCCCGCTCTACTCCAGCACCAGCAGCACCGAGCTCTCCGACGGCGCCTGTCCGAGCGGCGGCGGCGGGGGCGGCGGCGGCGGCGGCGGCCGCTCGGCATGCACCTTCATGTGCGTCTTCAGGTGGTGCGACTGCCTGAAGCCGCGCCTGCACACCGCGCACACGTACGGCTTCTCGCCGCTGTGGATCTTGGCGTGGTGGAACAGCTGCGTGCGCGTCGAGAACCTCTTGCCGCACGTCTCGCAGGCGTACGGCCGCTCGCCCGTGTGCGTGCGCGCGTGAATCTGCAGCGTCACTTTGAGCGCGAAGCCCTTGCCGCAGATGTCGCAGAGGAAGCGGTGGGGGGTCCGTGTGGGTGCGCGCGTGCTTCTGCAGGGCCTTGTCGTCGATGAAGCCCTGGCCGCACGTGTCGCACTTGGCCGGCCGCGTGGCGTCGTGCAGCAGCCGGTGGCGGCTCAGCCAAACCTTGGTCTTGATGCGCTTGCCGCAGATGTCGCAGATGTACATCTGGCCGTGCGCGGCGGCGCGGCAGACGTGCGCCTCCAGCTCCGCCGGGTCGGCGAAGCCGCGCCGGCAGGCGGCGCAGCGGTGCGGCCGCGGCGGCCGGCCGGCCCGACTCGTCTGCTCACGTTCGTGGCGACGCACGTGATACTCGAGGATGCGCCGCTGCGTGAACTGCCAGCGACACTTGGGGCACGGGAACTGGCGCCGCTGCTCGTGCGCCTCCACGCTGTGGCGCACGAGCGCGTCCAGGCGCGTGTAGGCGCGCTCGCACACCTCGCACTCCAGCCGCGGCCGCTCCGAGTGCGAACTTTCGTGGCGAGTCAGGTTACGCTGCGAAGCGAAGCGGCTGCCGCACTGCGAGCACTCGAACGGGCCGGCGCCGCTCGGCCGGCGGCGCGAGGCGCGCGTCTCGGCCGCCTCGCTGTCGGAGGACGCGGCCGCCTCCGGACTGGCCTCCGGGCTGGACGGCTCGGCCGCCGGCGAGTCGGGCGAGAGCGGGTCGCGCTCCGGCGGCGGCGGCGGCGGCGGCGGCGGCTCGGGCGGCGGCGGACTTGCGCACCTGTGCCGGTCCAGCTGACACTGCTGCGCGAACGCGGTGCCGCACCGTGCGCACGGGTAGAAGCCGGTGCGCGGGTGCGGTGCGAAGTGCTCGCGCAGCGCGACGGCGCTGAACTGACCGCCGCACGCGCCGCAGCGGGTCGGCCCGCGACCCCGACGGCGGAGCTCGCGGCGGCCCACCGCTGCTGTCGCCGCCGCCGGCGGCCGCGCGCGCCTGGCAGCGGCGGCGGCGGCCACGCGGTGGTGGCGTTCGTGGCGCGCGCGGTCAAGCGGCGCGGCCAGCTGGCGGCCGCAGCGCGAGCAGGGCGCTGCCGTCGGCGCCGCGTGCTGCCGCTGGTGCGCCGCCAGCGCCAGCCGGTCGGCGAAGCGAGCCTCGCATCCGCCGCAGCCGAACGGCGGCGCCGGGGACATGGTCACCTCGAGCAGGGCAGAGAGCGTGTCGGCGACCGGCCGCCGCCGCCGCTGAGGATCATGCGCCGGTGCTGACGCTGGCAGCGTTGGCGGCGGCGCTGGCGGCGGCGCTGGCAGCACTGGCGGTGCTGGCGGAGCTGGCGGTGCTGGCGGTGCTGGCAGCGGCTGCGGCGGTGCTGCCGGCGATGGCTCATTCCCGCCCGGCGCTGCCGCTGCCGCTGCCGCCGCCGCTGCCGCTGCCGCTGCCGCTGCCGCTGTCGCTGCCGCTTCCGCTGCCGTCTCCACCTCGGTCACAGCGTAGCACGTGAACCGCTGCGTCGGAGCACCTCCCTCGCCGCCGTTGACCGACGCCTCCTCCAACTTCACGATCCCAAAGGGCAGCTGCGCGACCCCCGACTCTGCACCGGCCTCCATGCGGCTGGGAGAGTCGTGGCCTTCTGCACGCCGCTGCACGGTCCACAGCTCATCTGCGTCAGGGCTGGGCGCGCCGTTCCAGTAGGTGGCGGATCGTGCCGTCGCCTCGGACGCCGCCGCCGGCCGCGCGTCACTCCCACGCCGGCACTCCTGGTGTGACGTCACCACACTGTCTCTGACAGACGGCGGCGCCTGCCGGAGGACGGTCCGCGCCTCCTCCTCGCACGTCCTCCGTTCCAGGTCGTCCTCCACGCCGGTCCTCATCTGCGGGTCGTCTGACGTGCCGTCGTGCGTTTGCAGCGGGTCCCCGGGGGACGCGAGGACCGCGGCGGCGTCCGACAGCGACATGGCGCCGTCAGATGGCGACCGTCAGCGGCATGACGGCCGCCTGTCAGCCGGCCGGCCGTCGGTGGAGACCCGGGGACATTCGACAGATCAGCTGCACGCCGACTTGTCAGCCAGACGCCGTCTGCTGGGCGGGCTGTGAATAGCAAGGCAGGGTCAATGTTAAAGCCTTTCTGAACGCGTTTGTCATGAAAAGTGCACCTCACACTGGGAAAAAGACGTCGAAATGAGCAATAGCATAACCTACCAAGGAAATGTGCATAGAAATGCGAGCGCAACGGTTACAAGTCATGGATGATTTTGAGCTGAAATTCCGTTCCTAAAGTTAGTATTCAAATTATTATTTAGTAAGGTCATACACTTATTTATTGTGCATTATATATATATATATATATATATATATATATATATATATATATATATATGTATACTATTTTATTGCACTATTTCATTTTTAATAATACCAAATTATCAATGACATGATTAAACCTCGTACCTTATTATTTGCACGGACAAGGCTGGAAACTTTGCCCTTCCGCCGCATAACGCCACTATCTGTTGCTGACAGCCGGACTCGCACCAACGACGTCGTACAGTTTAAAAACATGCGTCGGCAGGCTGCACACATCTGCACGTCACGAACAGGAGGACTGGCTCGGGCTTATAAGCCGACGTTTAACCGCCGCTGCACACTCATAACGGGCCGAGCAGTAAGCAAACCATAGCGCTGCATACGCCCACTGCCGAGCCGTTTACGTCCACTCGTCCCACGGCGTATCTAACGGAGTCTCTCGATAATCGGACACGCTCGTGACGTCATCCGGCATTTCGAGAGTAGCGGTTCTGAGCGTAGGCCTTCTGAGAATGGGCCTTTCGGGCGTAGGTCTTCTGAGCGCGGTATTCCAACCGAAGATCCTCTGAGCGTAGCCATTCTGAGCAGAGGTCCTCTAAACCTCACTCGCACAAAGCATCGCACTGCTTAAGGGGAGAGGCCATGGCCCTAGGAACTCTTACTTGGATAAAATATAAGACTTAATAATTAATAAGATTTTTGAATAGCCGCCCTGGCCCGCCCATCATGTTTCAAGAAGCGTTTTTAGAAGAAAATCATTAAAGTCACTTTTGTTGGCCGCGGCTTTGTATTCCTTGACACACGTTTGTCCTTTCCTTTTCATCACAACGCCTTTCGAAACCTCGTTTTCAGTTTTATACCCACTTACAAATAATCCGATCACTAAACTTGCCACCACGGACAGCCTGTTTTGCTCCACGTCAGTAGGTGGCTTTGTAAATGCACGACAAACATGTTTAACATGTTTTGATAAGATTCGACGGACGATGCGCCACACAAGCATGGCAGTCTCAGATGGCAAACAACTAAGCTTTCACATGGTCGATCATATGGTCGATGACGGACATAAAATACCCGTGTCCAAACGTACCCGCCTGGGCTAGCCTGGCAACAGGGAGCCGTAACAAGCCACTGGTATTTTCCTGGGGGAAACACCCCCTGCGAATGCCTTGTTTGAGCTTATGGAGAGCTGTAATTTCTTTGATTTTTTACAACAGCCGTGTAAAAATGTTGGTCGGAGCATCGGCCTACCTTAGATGCGCCTTTCCTGGTTTGCCCCCATGCATATTCCTTTTGACTTTCACGCCTATTCCCTAAATACTGGGGAGCTCTACCAACCACTTATTTAACAATCCACCCGAAATGCATAAACCAAGTCACATTTACACTTTTAGGGTTACGTAAGCCGTAGATCGAGACAATGAGTGACCTGATGCAGCCAAATAAGACAACGGGATTACCTCATTCCGGCCTGGGTCGTTTTGTTTGCTGGATTCTGTCAAAGACGGGTCACACGACATTGCAAGATATGGGGAATCAGATGTCGCGGTGGTTGGCTCCAGCTCAGCGGGACCAGGAGACATGAGAGAATCAGATGGCACGGCAGGACCAGGAGATTGGATGCTGATGCTGGGAGAGGCTCCACCTAAAGGTGCAATGTTATCAGGCACATATCTGCAACACATCAGTGCAATACAATGTGACCACCTGTGCAACAAAATCTATCCACCTGTGTCTTAGATAGTAGAGCCCCAGGAGCATGATGGTCTACACAGATGGTGGATCAGGTCATATCAGGTCATCAGGTCAGATGTTGTCATATCAGGTTAGGTCATCAGGTCAGCATGTCATACCAGATGATGTCAGCAGGCCATCTGATCTGACTGCCATGTCAGATTAGGCCTGATCAGGTAATCATGCCAGATCAGGTCACCATGCCAGATCAGGTCTCAAGGTCAGATCAGGTCATAAGGTCAGATCAAGTCACCAGGTCAGATCAGGTCACCCAGTCAGATAAAGTTATCAGGTATCAGGCTAGAATGGAGCAGGGAAAACACAGCTGATACATCATGGCTGCACTTTAGCACTGCTATTTGATGGTAAACAGCACAGGTTTACCAAATAAATTGTAAAATGGTTTGGGTAATTGGTTTGGATAAATAAGTCTCTGTAATTTTTAGATCAATGGTAAAATCATGGTAAAATCACTGATAAAATTGCCACAGATAAAAATAAAATCACTGATAAAATCACTAACTTTGTCATCACTGGAAAACTTATAAATCATACATAACTTATCTTTAAAAGGGCCATAATTTTAAAACCACTTTGCTCTTGATACCAACCTCATTGATGGGAAGTGCCATGTGAAGTGGTAGTGGTGCTTTTTACAGCACATGTTATGTCCATGGCACAACAGAAAACAAACCACATGCCAGAATCACAGATGCTTAGATATAATGTTATACTCCCATTTCCAGCACTTGGCAGTCACTACAGCTTGCTCCAACATAGTGGTGAAGTTGTCAATTAGTGGCAATGCACCATCCTCCTGTTTGGGGGCAATACGTATCTCACATGTTTGGGTGAAGACCTTCCAGCCCGCGATCCGCGTAGCCCACCGTCGGGGTCGGACTCCAAGCTGAGCATCCATACCCAGCATTAACCAAACCGGGAAGTGGTCGCTTCCAGCCGCGTCCCATCCACAGACCAAGAGGTAGCTTGCTGTGCTGGATCAGGGCTTTGATTACCCACAGGATGCAGGGCTCCAGGGTCCAGGGTCCAGAGTCCAGGGCTCGAAGTTGGATTGGACCAACATGTCAGCGGCATACCACAAGGTGCTGGGACCAACACCAACGCTATTCATAATCTTCGTGAACGACCTACCAGATCAAGTGTGAAGCCTGGTCACGGATAACACCAAGCTATACTGTTGTGTTCCGAGGCCCCTGACTGAGTCTCCTCTACAGGTCGACCCTGACTGAGTCTCCTCTACAGGTCGACCCTGACTGAGTCTCCTCTACAGGTCGACCCTGACTGAGTCTCCTCTACAGGTCGACCCTGACTGAGTCTCCTCTACAGGTCGACCCTGACTGAGTCTCCTCTACAGGTCGACCCTGACTGAGTCTCCTCTACAGGTCGACCCTGACTGAGTCTCCTCTACAGGTCGACCCTGACTGAGTCCCCTCTACAGGTCGACCCTGACTGAGTCTCCTCTACAGGTCGACCTCGACGCCCCGGTCAAGTGGCTAGAGGAGTGGCTGCTCCCTTTAATGCAACAAAGCGCAAGGAAATACGTATCCACTGAAATCGTGATCAAGTCCACCCATAAGGACCTGGGAATATTTGTGGATCATAGGCTCAAGGCCAACCAGATGGTGGTCACGAGCTCGCCAGCATCCATGTTCATATGCTGCCACTGCCCTTCAAGATCTTAGTACACCCCTGTTTGGGGTATGGCAACATCATCTGAGTCCTGTTTGGCAGCCTAGACCAGGAACGTCTGGAGAGGGTTCGGTGACCAGCTACACATCTTGTCCATGAAGTGAGGCACCAGCCCCACTCAGACTCAGTGACAGAGTTCCTGACAAGAAACAACTGGGAGGTGGCAAGAGGACACCAATGGGGGCCAAGGAAACCTGCAGCTGCGACTGACGTCAGTCGTAACTCGTTCACCACACAGATCATCAATGACTGGAAAGCTTTTCCACATGGGGTTGCACAATGCTCAGTCTATTTATGTTCTGAGACTGTTTGATTACCTGACCAAGAACCTCATGAGATTGGGACCACCAGGCCAAGTGGCATTTTATAATTCCTGATCACCATAAGATAAGGTAAGGTAAGGTATCTCATGAAAAACCAGCCACATATGCAAGCTGGCATAATATAAGAGGGGGCTTGAATGGCATATGCACCCGAAGGATATTCTGGTAAAAAGGAACTTGATTCTAACAGTTATGTGTTTAGGTACCCCATGCATCAATTGTTTCTGGCAATATACAATTTTCTAAACTTCTTTCAGATAGCATTCCCCGTTTCCACCATATGCATTGGGGGGGGGGGGGGGCGCAAAGGAGCATTTGGTAGGGGGGCTCACTACAGCTTTGGGATGGCTCGGACTTCCCAAAAGTATGCAAAGTGGTACCCCCAAAAACCATTAAACAAAAATGAATAACCAAATTCAGGTAAGCATGAAACCATCAAGCAAAAACAAATGTATGACAAGACCATGCATAACTTTCCAAATATGGCGAATATTGCAAAATTATTTTAGACATTGTGCAAACATTTTAGACATTGAAGATCCATCACAATCAAGCATGTACCATTCGAGATCTAAACCTTCTGCTCACCCGGGGAAGTGACTTCAGAATGTTTTAGTACGCTCCGTCAGTTTGCCAACTACAGCACACAAAATACTCTACCTGAGGTTGGGAGCCAGACTAGGCATGGAGCAGCCTCCAATGAAATCCACTCGAGTTTGGCTTAAATGCTTGAGAGCTCAATCAAACCCGCACGTTCCCAAGGACGACGGCTGCGGAGGCAGTGAATGCAACGCTCTTGTTGCGAAAAGGGACAGCTGATCGAGGCTTCGTCAAAAACACTGCCTTATACCTTGGCTATTTAGTGTTATTCAATACCACCAGGGGCGCGCGAACTATGTTCATGTAAGGGTGGGGGGGGGGGCGACTCCAAAATACCGAAATAGACCCATAAAATTCAAAATCGGGCCACCTTCAATCCAGAATGGGGGAGACAAGCTCTCCCCACCGTCCCGCCCCCCCCCCCGCTCCCGCGTCTTTGAATACAACTCCCTCGAGCACGCAAGTGCATTTCGTACCATATATGTTGCGTAAGAGCTCGTATAACCAATATATACTCGAATGTCTGCATATTTTGTGTATAAACACAGGTGTGATAGCTGATTGTGAAGTACAGTCATTAAAATGGCAATACTTACAGGCTCGCTCTCACCCAGAAAGCTTCGATTTACAGCCTTGTTGGAGCAAATAAGTTCTGGTTACTGCATGTAGGTTTCCGACAGTAACAACTTCCGATCATCCGAAGTACTGCCAGTCCGTGCCTTCGGCTGTGACGTTAGATATCAAATTGCTGGTGTCATCAATTTGCGCCTCGGATCCGAGGCTTCCAACTGATTTGTACGCCTCACGGCTTCGATTCGTCCGTGCAATTATACACTGAGCGAAAATTACTAGTGTATTTCTTTATTCTATGGAATAGTCTGACGCATGGCTACAATAAGCGATTAAAAACATATGAAACAGAAACAGACTTACAGAAGAGCACATTCAACAATTTACACACGACCACGTCGCATATCATGCAAACCTTCACGAAACAGATAAGCATTGGACGAATCCCGCGGGTTAATGATGCGAGGAAAATCATACCATTGATGACGCATCTTCACAGAAAACGCTCCCGGAACGCGCTGATATTCAGAGTGCGGCTTACGCTATCCCAGCGTCTGCACATTTCAGAAACCCCTTACCGCCCCTCTGCACTTTCCCAGTTAACTTCTAAAACGCCCCCCTCGTCCACGAGACGCACCCTTCGGTACAATGAAACGAAATGCTCCTTAAAAGCCGCCACAGGTACGCTGTCGGCACCAAGTCGCACATTTACACTTCCCAGACGGACACAGCTCAGATACTGCCCACTCTCCTGCGGACGTGACACAAAATCTCGACGTCTTCCTCTACAAGCTTAGTGTCCATGTTTTAGTTGCCCCTAACATCAAAGACACTGCCCTGCTGCACTCGCGGACGTGAAACAAAACCTCGATGCCTTCTTCTACAAGCTTAGTGACCATGTTTAGGTTGCTTCTAACGTAAGCCCGGGCGGAAACGTCTCCCACGCTCGTCACCAGTCCAAACACCGCGTTCAACCCACCATTGGCCGGCCACACCCCCGCCAACGGCGTCATGACGTCACTACGGCCCGCGCAGCCTCCTCATTGGTCTGCACGGCTGCTCCGATGTCCGATCCGTCGGCACGGGCACCCGCCCGAGGTTCGCCAAGCGACTCCAGAGTCCGACGTTCACATGGCGCGTGCAGCCGTCATGGCCAGCAGGGCCGGACCAGTCTGACATCACAGCGCGCGCAGACCGGCGACCCGCACGGCCGCCGCATAGTCTGACGTCGCACCAGCGCTGCAGCCCCCACGGTCCGCTGCCGCGCCTCACACCAGCCCCAGGTGGCCGCCGGCCAACGGCGAGCGCGGTTCCGGCCGCGCGGCGGCGCCGGGCGGTCTCAGGCGCAGCGTCAGCACTCCCCGCGGCGCTCACAGCAGCACGGGCAGGCCGAGGCGGCTGCGGTGGCGCCCCGTCGCCGCCGCCGCCGCCGTCCTCGGCGAGCGGCCGGCGGCCGGCGAGGGCGCGGCCAGGCGCGCGGCGCGCGGCGTGCGCGGCGTCCTGGCGGCCGGCGCCGGCGGCAGGCCCACCAGACGCTGCGAGCGGCGGCGACTGCGCGCGGCGGCCCGCAGCGCCGGCGAGCCGCCGGTCGCGCCGCCGCCGGCCGCCTGCAGCCGCTGCAAGCCGCGCGTGAACTCGGCGTACGACATGTCGGAGGCGAGGCTGACGTTGCGAGCGCTGAGCTTGCCCGGCGCCGTGCGGGCCATCGAGGCGTTCCTGTCGGCGAGGGTCAGAGTCAGGGGCCACGGCGGGAGGGGCGGGTCAAGGGCCACGGCGGCGAGGGTTAGGGTCAGGGTCAGAGGCACAGCGGCAAGGTCACGGGTCACGGCGGCGAGGGTCAGGATCAAGGGCCACGGCGGTGAAGGGCGAGGTCAGGGGTCACGGCGGCGCGGGTCAGGGTCAGAGGCCACGTCGGTGACGGGCGAGGTAAGGGTCAGAGGCCAAGGGTCAAGGGCAGCGGCGGCGAAGGCAAGGGGTCAGGGTCACGGGCGACGGAGGCGAAGGGTAGGGGTCAGGGGCGGCGGCGATGGGCGAGGCAAGAGGCAGCAGCGGGGGGAGGGGTAACGGGCGGCGGCGAGCAGTGGAGGGGTTCAGAGGCGGAGGCAGAGGGCACACTGCGGCACGTAACATGGCCGAGCTCCATGGCCGGCCGCAAACCTCAGGACGGAGACGTCATTCCAATCACCCCAGAACATGCGTGGGCGCTTACAAGTGACGACACATACATCACAAGCCGTGCACCCACGCGAGGGCGGCACCGCTCCCATGTGAGGCAGTCAGCGCAGGCGTTATCGTGTTCAGCTCAGCACGTTAGTGCGTCGGCTAGCACTGTTAAAGGAGTTTGGGCAGGCGGGGTTCACCAATGGACCAAGAATACGCAACGAAGCCACCATCGCGCTCATTAATGTTTTTCTTTTTGTTCTTTTTGTGGCGTTATGGTGCGGGGACTTCGAGGGTGATCTGACCCCCAGCCCCCGCGCTGAACAGGCGCCGATTATATTTTGAAGCTTGAAAGAGGGCGCATCGCAGAGCGGCGCCTCCGGTCATCTACGACCTGCGGCTGAAAACCCCGCGGCCAACACGACCCGATCCGGCCACGCAGGTCAAAGCCATTCTCCACGGACGCGCGAAACGATCCTTTGGGGCAGCAACAGACCATGCCAGCGGCGCCGGCTCGCCTGCGCGCGCTGCCGTCGGCTAAACCGCGCCGCACAAAACGTAGTCACAGTCACGGACGCTCCGTAAAGGCGGTCAGTGCTGCACGCGTGCACAAAACGCAGAAATATGTGCAAACATAAAATAATGTGGTGTATAGGCATAAACGTGCAGTCAACACACAAACTAGCGACATATGTCAGCAAAAGCTGTTTCCAAGACGGGACAAGCTCATTCACGTAGTAGTAAGTGCAAAGAAAAACCAAATTGGAGTCATAGACAGACGCATCTGAGAGGGGGTGTGGTCCAAATATGTCAGCCAGTGATGTCCGTCCAATACAATTTAGACAAGGCGAAAAGGGCACTTTTCCTCAGTGTCATAACAGCCAGTAAAACGACAGCTACTTCCCATAAATGTACGAGATCTGAGTCCGTCAGCAGAAAAAAGGATTACCTTCAGCAGACCATGACTGGCCGACGGTAATCACGGCTCTCCAACGAAACCCCAAGACGCAAGTCAAGCTTTGCCCTTCAGTTAGTAAACATGTGTGACTCCGGCGATGAACCGGCCGTCGCGTAGCGGTTAGCCCCGCGGAGGCCCGCCAAGGGCACCTCCCAGCGCGCGGAAGTCACGCGTCAGCATGCAGCGGAGCCGTCAGGAGCCCCACGCAGAGATGCCACTGCCGGCGACACCTCGGGGCACCGACGCAGAGATCGAAGGAGATCGCGCGCGCGACAGGAGAGACCGGGCTCGTGCGCGCCCGAGGTCGGCAGGCGGCGGCGCGCGCCTGGGCAGCGGCAGGCTGAGGCGGGCGCCAGGCTGTTACGAGCGCCGTGCGGTGCTTACCTACACCTGGCGGGACCACTCACTTGTGTTCCGTGAGGCGGTTCATTTGTATCGGAGTCAACGGCTTTCTGCGAGGCAACCGGACGGGCCGGACGGTTAGACACTGGTCCGGTCGGGGGCGGGGGCGGGGGAGGCAGGTCACGTGTGTGCCAGGCGAGCTTCCGTCGCTCGTCGGCACGTGTGTTTGTGTGACGAGTGGATGCGAGTGTCGTGTGTGTAGAACAGCGGATGTTATTCGTGTTCCACACACAGGTGTTCAAGACCCAAAGGCAGAGCCGACACGGTCTCTGACCGTGCCCCCACCAGCCAGTCGGCGTTCGCGGCGAGCACGCCTCGTGCGCACGTATGGCCGCCGCCTGCGTGCCTCGCTCAGACACCGCCTGACGTCCATCCAGCGGGGAGCGGGTCTGCCATCCGCCCGCCGTCGACCCCCCGGCACCACCACAGAGAACCGCGCCTGGCGCCGCGGCCGGGCCGGGCCGGGCCGGGCCGTCTGGTCCGCTCACCTGTTGGCCGCGGCGGCCGGGTTGAAGAGCGAGAGCGGGGTGCGCGCGGTGCGGCCGAGGCCGGGCGAGGGCGCGCGCAGCCGCGAGCCCAGCCGGGTCGACTCCAGCCGGCGCTGCTTGGAGGGCGAGCCGCCGCCGCCCTGACGGCGCTTGGCCGGCGTCACCGGGCGCGCCCCGAACATCGTCTCCTGATGGACACGGGCGCGCCGCGGTCAGGGCGTGTCCAGGTCAGGTCACGGTCAGGTCACAGTCGAAAGTGGAACGGTGGAGGCGAGCGCGGGCTGTGGTGGTGTAGAGGGGATATCTGGTCAGGTGCGAGGTCATGACTCATGGGCCGTGCGACAGGGTCAGGCGCGTGCAACGCCAGGCAGGTCAGACTAGTTTTACCACAGCGGCGACCCTGTGAATAGCCGTATAAGTGAAGCAAGCGCGGTGGGTTACCAATTTTGAATGAAACCCATTTAAAGCTCAGACTGAAAAGGCGTTAAAATTGCATACGACTTTCGGCCACTCAAGGAAAAACCAGCGACGTTCGACCCTCCAAGGCACACGAAATTGGCATTTCCAGAATGAATAAGCGTGAAAAGTTGTTTCTGTCTCATTGTTGCCTTCGATTCAGCAACCGGTCGTCATTTTGCCCGCTAGTTTCACAACCTATCACGAGTCCAAAGCAAACAGAGCAGCTCCGTCCCACACAGAACGCCTCGGAAGAGAGCCAAAACCAGCCGCCCGCACCCGCCGCTTCCGGCCGGCCGCCGCGCCGCCAACTCACATGCTCCAGCTGGTTGGCCTTCTTGGAGGCGCGCTCGACACGCTCTTGCTCCTTGCGCTCCTGGTGGTCCAGCTTCTGCTGCTCGATGTACGCGGCGAAGTCGTGACCGTGCACCAGAAACGTCGTGTTGTGCTGACACTCCCATCTGGCGGGGAGGAGGGGCAGGGGGAGGGAGGTCAGAGGGCGGCACCCGCGGCGTAGCAGAGCTGTCTATTCAGGGCGGGGGGGGGGGGGGCGGTCAGGGGCAGGCGGCAGGCGCGGCGCAGCAGAGCTGGCAGTTCAAGGGGGGCACCGGTCAGGCCGCCGAGCAGCGCCTGGTTCTGAACGCACTGCCGAGTCCTGCGCCGTACGCAATGACGGCCCCCGCGCCCGCACGGAAAACAAAACTGGCAGCGTTGGAGGCGTGGACCGCTTGTAGCGACCCAGTCATTTGCTGGCAAAACACAACATATCCCCTTTGATGAAATGGAGAAACGAAACGATAGCTGCGTCGAGCTGTCGCGGCCGCGGGCGGCGTCTGACGTCGGTGATATGGATCCTCGGGCACCGCAAAACCTGGTTCACGCGGCGTCCATCCGCAGCTCGTCTGCGCCTAGCGCTCACCACCTACTCACGACCGGTGCACTGGAGCGTGACCAGTGACGTCACCATGGCGGTCAGATACCGACGTCGTCGTCTCGTCACACGAGAGACCCGCCCCATTTTCCTCTACCGGTCGGTGTGAACAAGCCATTGTCAAAAATAGCATGCTACCAGAAAGTTCGCCTCGTTGTCTCCCCGAAACCGAGGGCAGTTTACCTAGAGCACATGACAGGTGCTCAAATTCTAGTGAGAGGATGTGTGTGCCGTCCGCACCCAGCGCGCCGGACTTCCAGCGACACGGCGCGGCACGTCACGTGCCATGCTGGGACAGGACACATGCCTGACCAGACGAACACGTGACAGCATCGGGCGGCCCGGCGCGTCCGGGGGCGTGCTGCTGACCTCTGTATGAGCTGCTGGAGGTCGCTCTCCACCTTGGGCAGGCGGCGGGCGATCTTCTTCCTCTCCTTCTCCTCCAGCAGCAGCTGACCGCCCCGGTTCGAGTACCTGGCGACGGCGCCGGCGGCCACAGGTCAGCGACAGACAAACGGTCGCCGAGCCGCCGACGGCCACACACCAGCGACAGACAAACGGTCACCGAGCCGCCGGCGGCCACACGTCAGCGACAGACGAACGGTCGCCGAGCCGCCGGCGGCCACACACCAGCGACAGACAAACGGTCGCCGAGCCGCCGGCGGCCACACGTCAGCGACAGACGAACGGTCGCCGAGCCGCCGGCGGCCACACGTCAGCAACAGACGAATGGTCGCCGAGCCGCCGGTGGCCACACGTCAGCGACAGACGGACGGTCGCCGAGCCGCCGGCGGCCACACGTCAGCGACAGACGAACGGTCGACGAGCCGCCGGCGGTCACACGTCAGCGACAGACGAACGGTCGACGAGCCGCCGGGGGCCACACCACCAGCCCCAGCAATGCCAACCGAGCTTCCGACATACACCGCAGCTGTTTCTGTCCTACCATGGCCGACTCCATCTCGCGCTCCGATGGACCCCATCCATGCTCCCAGGCCACTGCCGTTTGCCTTCCCCCGCCAAGAACACGCCCGTCCCTCGGCCATAGAGGGCGTGAAGGCGCGCTGCCATCCCTTACGAAGGAGCCGCACGATCTCATTCTTTAGCCAGAGCCGACGGAGCTGCACTATCCCACCCCTTGACCAGAGCCGACGGAGCTGCATTATCCCACCCCTTGAGCAGAGCCGACGGAGCTGCATTATCCCACCTCTTGACCAGAGCCGACGGAGCCGCATTATCCCACCCCTTGACCAGAGCCGACGGAGCTGCATTATCCCGCTCCTTGACCAGAGCCGACGGAGCCGCATTATCCCACCCCTTGACCAGAGCCGACGGAGCCGCATTATCCCACTCCTTGACCAGAGCCGACGAAGCCGCATTATCCCACCCCTTGACCAGAGCCGACGGAGCCGCATTATCCCACTCCTTGACCAGAGCCGACGGAGCCGCATTATCCCACTCCTTGACCAGAGCCGACGGAGCCGCATTATCCCACCCCTTGACCAGAGCCGACGGAGCCGCATTATCCCACCTTTTGACCAGAGCCGACCGGCCGCATGCTTTAGCCGCCGGCCAGAGAAGGCGTCAAGAAATGCTTCCACCGCTCAGCCAGAGGTGTCAAGGGAAGCATGTATCCATCGGCCACAGGCGGCGGTCAAGGCTTCCAGCGAGCTGAGACCCCGACAAATTATTGCCAGTCCCACTTGTCACGGCGTGGGGTCGATAGGGACCTCACGCGTCGCGCGCGCTGGTCAGCAATACCTCAGCCAAATCCAGCACAATCTGCCTCACCGTGCCGGGTCGTTGGCCCGCTCCTCCAGCTCCAGCATCTTCTTCCACAGCTTCTGATGCTCGTCCACGTCCTTGATGAGCACGCGGTTGGTATCGTAGTAGCGCCGCACGCGCTCCAGTTCCTCCTCATGCTGCTCCAGCAGTGTCTCGGTGAACCTGCCGCAGTGCGGCCGGGTCGCACGGTCAGGCACGGGCTCCGCCATGGGCGCGCCTCCAGCGGCGTTGCCGCAGGCTGGTCAGCAAGTCCAGGAACGGGACAGAGCCACCGCTCGTGTCCGTGCCGTCAGTGCACGCCGACGAACCATTTCACGAAGGGTAATGACACGCACAATGGACAAAACGCCGCGAGCCATACCCCAAAATACGTTGTGGACGCCCTTGGTTTTGCATCCAAGACGGCTATCGCCATTGGGCCCACGCCCCGCCCCGCCCCGTTAGCAGCCAATAATAAACACAAAATAGGGTGGCTGAAGCGAAGACGGTGTCTGCCCTTCGGCTGCTCTCATCCTTCCCGTCCTTTCGCTCACGTTTTGGTGGTGAATACAGCCCATCTCGGCCAACACAACACAGGCGCAGCAGGCTCCCTGCCGTGTCATCCGCGAGGGAGAAGCCGCCCGCCCGCCGCCGCGACCGACTCACGTTTTAGCCGTGAACGCGGTGAAGGCGGCCCGCTGGCTCTCCGAGTAGTAGCAGCGCTCCCACAGCTCGGCGATCTCCGTGCGTAGGGCGCGCACGAACTTCTCCACGTTCTGGCGCTTGAGCTCCTCGTGGCGCGCCACCTCATCGCGCAGCACGCGCAGGGTGCTGGGCTTGTGGCCGGTGCAGCTGGCCAGCACGCTGGTGCGCCGCTCCTCCGGCACCTGCGACCAGGCCGGCGCACGCGGCGTGAGCGCGGCAGCCGCCAGCTGGCGCCCGAGGCGGCCACAGGTACACTCCCGACGGGTGTTGGATGGGATGAGGGTCATGAGGCAGCGCACGTTACAGGAAGCGGCGCCGAACAGTGAGCTAACTGCATTCCAGAACGACTTGGGGTGTTCGGTCTGCTCCACTGATTAGTCGCAATGCATGGGCATTATAGCCGTTTGGAGCCATATGCATCACTCGGGCAGGACTAGAACGGGGAGCGCCCAACGATACATTGCCAGGGAGAATAGCACTGCACGCTGACAAAATGCTCGCATCGCGTGACACCACGCCACAAAACATCTGACCACTCATACGAAGCTTAACGGCTATCAAATTTGAACAAGAAAACAAGTTCCGTTCCCGTTAACGGCTAACTGACGTCCATCGTGAGCGGTTGGCCGGGCCGACCCGGGCGTCCCGCACCGGCGCGCGCTCACCTCGAGCCGCGCCCAGAGCCGGCCGAGCCGGGCGCGCAGCGTCTCGGCCTCCGTCTTGTTGGCCGCCTCCTCGGCCTCGAGCCGCTGCAGCCAGGCCTCCAGCGACGCCAGGTTGGCCTCGCTCAGCGGGAACTCGCCGTCGGCAGCCCAGACCGCCTGCGACTCCAGCTCGCCCTCGGCCGAGCGCTCCAGCGCCTCCAGCAGCGGGTACATGCGCTGGCGCAGCGCCTGCAGCGCGCCGGCGCGCCGCTGTCGCTCGCCCTCCAGCATGCGCACGTGCTCGCGCACCTCGCGGAAGTCGGCCTCCTGCGGGATCTCGGCCGTCAGCGACAGCGGCGGCATCTCCAGCTGCGTGCACAGCGCCGCCTCCTCCTCCTGCCGGCCAGAGGGTACGCGTCACCCGCGGCACACACGGTCGCCGAGACTCGTGCATGCTGACGCTCCGCTGCTCCGCAAACGGCGTGAGGACATCTGGCAGCAGATGGCAGGCGACGATGCTGGGACATCACATCCTGCCAGGCTCCACATCTGAGAGACGCCAGACGTGCTGTTTGAAAAGCGACTCGCGTTTAATTCGTGATTTCTTGCATTTCTGAATTTCCAGACAGAACACACTGCACCCACGAGTTCACCAGCGCAGTTTCTAACAAGCGGCACCAGCAGCATGCTGTAAAAGCCTGCTCACACAGCCGGCCGTCGCACCGCCAGGCGCGCCTCTTCCCACCCACCCGGAGTAGCTTCATAGCCGAGACTCCAGTCCAAGCCTGCTCACTCAGACCCGCGGCTACACCGTCACACGGCTCTCCACTCTCACCCGGAGCAGCTCCATGGTCGAGATGCCAGTCCAAGCCTGCTCACTCAGACCGCGGCTACACCGTCACACGGCTCTCCACACTCACCCGGAGCAGCTTCATGGTCGCCACCACCTCGTCACGGCGAGCCTGCAGCTGCTGCAGCCGGGCCAGCAGCACGCGGTCCAGCTCCAGCAGCGACAGGTTCTCGTCCGGCTCCTCTACCGCCTGCCCCAGCTGGGAGGCCAGCAGCAGCAGGCGGCGCCCGTTCTCGTCGATGTTCTGCGTCAGCGTGCGCACGCGCCGCTTCTCCTCCTCCACCTCCTGGCGGCGGCACACGGAAACGTCGACTGCGGCGGGCGGCCAGAGGTGGCGCGTACGGATGGAACGACTTCTGAGATGGAGCCGCTGGCATTTAATGCAAACCAAGGTGAAGTGAGAGATCGTCATGATTTTTTTGCGATGATTGAGGTTTCAGGTTGCGCCGAATACTAGGATCATTTTGCGCCCATAGCGTGGTGTGTCTGACGTTTTAAAAATCATCTGCACTGCTTCAGTGGCACTGGTGGCCTTTGCTACGGTCTACCGGACAGCCACGAGCAATCGAACTCTCGAGGTCATCCGAAACGTACAGCATTCTGGCGTGTGACTGATCCCACGCGCGGTGACAAACGGCCACCGCACACAAACGAACGCGTTTCCGTCAAGCTGAGCAGCAAGAGGGCTGGCCGCCAACTGGCCAGAGAGCACCAAACCGGGCTGACGCCCCTTGCTCTCTGCACGCCGGCCGCAAGCATCAGAGCGCGCCCATCACGCTGCGACGCAGGCTGGCGGACGAGCTGCCAGCGAGCGGGTGAGCTGGCGGGCGGGTGAGCTAGCGAGCGCAAGAGCCAGCGAGCGGGTGAGCCAGCAGGCGGGTGAGCTAGCAGGCGGGTGAGCTAACGGGCGGGT